TCTAGGACAGGGGCAAAATGCTGCTAGTCTCTTTGTTAAAACATAACAAGCGTCACCTTTGCTTCAGTTCCTAATAATTTCCTCATGTCTATCTGAGACCACCTCAGCCTGGATTTCATTGTCCATATCATTATCAGCATTTTGGTCAAAGCCATTCAACAAGTCTCTAAGGAGTTCCAAACTTTCCCACATTTTCCTATCTTCTCCTGAGCCCTCCAAACTGTTGTAACTGCTACCTGCTACCCAGTTCCAAAATTGCTTCCACATTTTTGGGTATCTTTTTAGCAGTGCCCCACTCTACTGGTACCAATTTACTTTATTAGTCTGTTTTCATGCTGCTGATAAAGACATACCTGAGTCTGGGTAATTTACAAAAAGATAGAGGTTTATTGGACTTACAGTTTCACATGGCTGGGGAGACTTCACAATCATGGTGGAAGGTGAAAGGCATGTCTCACGTGGCGGCAGACAAAAAAAGAGAGGTTTTGCAGGGAAATTCCCCTTTTCAAAACTACCAAATCTTGTGAGACTTATTCACTATCATGAGAACAGCACAGGAAAGACCTGCCCCTGTGATTAAATTACCTCCCACTAGGTCCCTCCCATCACACAGGAATTCAAGATGAGATTTGGATGGGGACCCAGTCAAACCATATCAGGGGTCTTTCAGAAATGCAAGTAAATTATTTGAGTGACTTTTCAAGTTATTTTTGGTTTCTGGACTTTCTTTTTCTGAATGTAATATTACTCTAAAATTGGACTACATGGATCCCTTGGCTTTTATTGGTTATACACCTACTGATTAAAATTTGGTGCCAGACCTGTGAAGAGTTCGAAGTAAATTATTACTGCTACTCATTTGTTTGCAAATGTTCTCACTCATCTGGTAAGCCTACGTTGTTTGCTATCATGCCTATTTACTCCTTGGAAAAGGGTGTGTGATCTTTATTGGCATATCAGTTTGGATGTCTCTGTGGAGTTCTGCACAGCAGACCATTGGCAAGGTTCTGGTTTATCATAAGCTTTATTTATCACACAAGAAATGCACAACTCTATGGACATATTGGATATATGTGCTATCCAAGGTTCTTTTAAAATCAATGCTATTTGACAGTTTTTCCCAAAAATGATTAACCAACTTGAATAGAGAATTTCCCAATTACATTTAATTTCAAATATTCAAAATATCAAAATATTACCTTTCTGTATATTTTTCAATTTGAAATCACCTTGTATTGAAGAACTGGTTAACACTGCCTACAAATGAATTTCTGCTACACTAAGTGTGAATAACAGCTGACTCTGAATTGGGCTAATTGTGAACTAATTCAAATTGCTATTTCACTGTGGGGGTTGAGGGCAGGTGAAACTTGTCTTTTCCTCCTCAGCAAATTCTTTTTATAAGAACAGTGATACTTTGGACATGATGTTTATTTCCCATGAAGAACCCACATTACTTGATACGTAGATTTGTTTTTTCCATCAAACAGTCTCTGTTTCAAATTAAAACAGCTTCTTTATTCTTTTATAGTTATTTAGTAAAATGATGAAGTGTAAATAAATTTTTGTGAGTCATTTAGATCTAATAGTCAAAATAGTAGGTTTTGGACTCATAAAAACCTGGGTTCCTTCCCAAATCTACTCCTTTGATATGACATTCTTGGTAAATTTACTTCATGTCTCTGTGCTCAGTTTCCTCCTCTGCAAAATGTGGTTAATAATAGTAACTAATGTTAGGTGTGGTGGCTTACACCTGTAATCCCAGCTTTTTGGGTGGCCTAGGCAGGAGGCTTGCTTTAGCCCAGGAGTTAAAGACCAGCTGGGCAACCTAGTGAGACCTCATCTCTACAAAAATTTTAAAAAACTTAGCTGGGCATGGCAGTGTGTGCCTGTAGTCCTAGCTGCTCCAGAGGCTGAGGAGTGGGTATTGCTCGAGCCCAGGAGTTCAAGGCTGTAGTGAGCTATGATTGCACCACTGCACTTTAGCCTGGGCCACAGAGTGAAATTAAAAAAAAAAAATTATCCAGCAAGGTTTGTTGTGTGGACTAAGTGAGGTTATTGCAAATTACTTAGCATAATGTTTTGCTCATAGTAAATAATAAATATTAGCTATTAATATTATTTGTAAGAGTGTTATTAGTGTAATGGATAACGCATGGATATGTGAACCTTAGAGACAAACATATAAATCATTTAGGGATAAAACTGGCCTGGAGTTTCAAATATGCCTTTCTTTTTGTAAGAAAAAGAAGAATTTTTTTTGAAAAATCAACACTGAGAAATGCCAGTTGTAATTCGTTAACTGACCATTCTATGTCAAATAATTTTTTTGGTAGTACAAAATTTTAACTTTTTTAATCTTTGCTGAAGTTATCTGGAAACTCTATCTGGGACTTTTGAAGATATGGGAATTGCAAAAACTCTTTGTGCTTATTCATGTCTTATCTGTTTACTTTTATTCTGCACTCATTCCTATCATTGAAATCAGTGGTTCTCAGCCCTGAAAGTCTTTTATTTTAATGTTTTTATTTTATTGTAAATTGACAATTTATAATTGAATATGGATGTACTGTAGAATCACCTGAGAAGCTTTTGAAAATTCTGATGCCTGAGCCCAATTTCTGAATATTCTCATTTATTTGATTTTATGTTGTTGAGAATCTCTGGACTAGATCTCATTTTTGGAATCTCTCAACCACTTTCTTCTCTCTTCTCTTCACTATATGATCAAAGTATCGCCTTCTCTACAAAGCCATCCTTTTCAGCTAGGAGGACCAAGGTTACATTGCAATTCCAACTCCCAAATCTCAGTGGATGTAAAGGAACAAATAGCAATGCATGTCCATCCCACAGGATTGGAGGGGTTCTACTCCCTGACACCTTCACTCCATATGTCACTGTCACATTTGCTTAAGGTATTTGGGTCAGAATTGGCTACTGGCCACACCTAACTTCAAGGAGAGCGAATATGCCAGTGTCTCATGTTCCCAGAAGGACAAACCAAAACGTCTGTGAGCTACCACATGTGATGACACCGTGTCACACTTTGCTCCCCTCTTTTGAATTCCTGCTGCACTCATCTGTACCGTATCAAGATCGGTCACTTCATTGTATGCTATTTTGAATTTTAGATCTATTTTGAATTGTCCAAGGACAAGACCTTGGAAATCATGTGGTCTAACTTCCTAGCTGACTTTGGTCCTTAAAACGAAGAAGGATTCCAGTTTGTTTATTTTTAAACAAAATCATTAAAACAACAAATGTTGTCAACTCATTTTTTTTTTTTCCTCAGTGAAAGACAAAACAAACTCATAGTTGGAATGGAGAGCTACTGGGAGGAAATGCATTTCTGCCTCTAGCTGTTTCAGAGTGCATTCCTTATTTAGATGGGGCCTTATGTGTCATAGCACATTTCTGAAATGGTTACCTGTTTCTATTTGGTCTTGTGCCTACTTGTACTTTAGTGACATTAATGGCTATGAAGGAAGTAATACTTTTGGAGAAAATGATATTCTAGTCATTCCAAAGTTTTATTGAATACATTTTTTTTTTTTTTTTTGCCATGAAATAGCCTTAGGAGATCTGCTGGCTAATAAACCAGACTTGATAATCACATCATGTGTATGGCAGAAATCATGCTTATTCCCCAGTGAAATAAGATTTCTCAGGTCTCAGTGGAGGCAGATGAATTTATCATTCTGAAACAGCAGGGTGGGTCATAGCCTGGGTGGCAAGCTTTGTAAATATTAATGGAGATTCCAAATTCCACTGCGTCTGCAGTAATTTAGAAGCAGTGTTAGCAGCGGAGGGTCAAGGGTGAAAAAATGACAACAAAAAATATTATGTGGGTGGGATTTGGATCTCTTTACTGTAAGAAAAATTCTTCTTTTTTGGAAAATTCTTTTTGTCTCTTCAGTGTCTGTGGCCATCTGAGAATGTCTACATGATGCCAGACCATACTTTACTCTGAATATTCACCGATAAGGTTATTTGACCTCTTTCTCTCTAATTTCACAGTGTCAGTCTTTGAGCTGAATAATTTCAAACAGATTTGACTCCCAAGAGACCTTTTTCTTTGTGGAGCAAACCATGAAGAAACACTTGAATAGTGGGTGAAATGACGAATACTCTAAACCTCACAAACTATTAGGAATCAATTTCCCAAACATCATACCTAATTATTCTCCCTCCCCCATTTCAATTCAGGAATCTCAAGGTTAAGGAAAAGCAGCTGAAAAAACAGTATTCTTGGTTGGGTTCATGTAATGCCCATTTTTCGTTTTTTATAACTGTAGGATAGAAAGGAGAGAAATTTCTAAAATCTGCCTCTTTAATTGCCAAAAAAGAACACTCAGAGAAAGAAAAGTTTGTGCTATTATGCAGAGATGATAGTGTTGGCGGGAATCGTAGAAACTCCTCTTGTTTAGTGGTTCTCAAAATGTGGTCCTCAAGGGGACACCAGGGGTTTTCTGAGTTGGGAGGGACAGAAGAAGGAAGGGCAGGTGATTCAGCTAATGTGGTGGCCCCATGGCCAGGAGGGAGAAGTGGATTCCACAGAGGCTTCAGTAGAAGGCAGAGAACTTGCAGGTGATGCGAAGATGTGTTTGTGAAAAATCACACCGGGTATGTCAGTGCTGTCCTAGTATTTGTGCCTGTGGAGGTGCAGAGGCAGCAGATGATGGTTAATGGTGGGCACTTGGAATCAGAAGGCAGGAATAGGTAGTTTCAGTGCTCAGTGGGGTGGGTCATCTTTGGACCTTTTCAACAGGTCCAAGATGTATAGAACAAATAGTTTAAGAATTATGCATCAGTCTAGGCCTTGTTCTGCATGTAAAGTTATTCAAGACAGTCATCTGAGATAATCTGAAGACCAAGAATAGGTTCCACATCCACACTTTGTAGCAAGTTTAATGGTTGAGCCCCTTTAGAGTCAAAATTCGTATATGTCATATCTATCATGTAATTCCTGCTGAAGTCTAAGACTCCATTTCTTTTGTTAGGTACATTGAAGATGGAGAACAACTGATGTCAAGACACGTTTTGGTTGGAAGGGGTAGAAGTCCAACTCCAACGGGCTTGCCAGGGATGGAACCTGCTGGCAAACATAACCAAACTGTGGGAAGGGCAGGGTATGGTTAACCTCAGGTTTCTGGAAGCAGAGTGTACAGTGCTGTGCCGTCCCTCTTCTCTCTAATTCTCTCTGCGTATTGGCCCTATCCTCTCAGCGGGGCCCATGAGCAGCAAACAGCAGCCACAGGAAGCTCCAGTGTCAGTGCCTCCCACCGCTTTCCTGAGAAGCAGCAGCCCCTTCGTTAGCTCCATATCAAAGACATCGACGGGCAGGACTTTGTGTGACCCAGTTTGGGTCACATGTCTTTATTTGGGAGGAAATGGATACAATGATGGCAGCCCTCATGGAACCTCATGTGTAGAAGGCCAAATTTCCTCTCTCTAAAAGTGAAATGTCACTGTCCATTCAACTGATGAAAATCTTCCTTTTCAACAGGAAAACTACCATGATGTTATCTGTTGGGTTTCAGCTTCTTACAGCAGTCATCTTAAGAATTAAACTGGTATGGATAATCTGATTATGAACTCCTTGAGGGTAGGGACCATATTATATAATACTTCTGTGTCCTCTGCTATTTCTTAGCAGAATTTTGAAAATGTGCTAAGTGTTGACGTGGTTTGATCACTTGTGAGAATGGAGGAACCCATAATGTTAATAATTAATGATGGTTGTTGGAGTTACTTACCCAAAACCTTATGAACTTAGCCTTCCCTAGCAGATTTAGTTTCATAATTTGTTCGGTATAAGCAAACACTAAAAAGGGATAGGGGAAAGTTATGAGTTGAGTAGTAGGGGAAAAGGTCGTTTTCAGTTTTATTTATGTCTTAGGGCTTGACATTTTTTGTTTGCCTTGGAGGGGGTGCTTTTAAAAATTCCTTTTTTGAAAACAATAAAATCTTAGATTTTGGATAACAGATATTTCTGCACTATATACCTCACTTAAGATTTTCCAGGTAACATTTAAAAGTGCCTTTTATAGTTTTTCATACCATATTGTAGGGAAGGCCAGGGTCATTTTTAAAACTTAACTATGCTCAATACCTCCTCACCACTATAAAGTAAGGTCGAATGTTGGTTAAAGCAAAGCTGTCTGGAATCACCCTGTCAAAAGTACTGATTTATAATCTTGCTACTCACATTTCTTACTGTGGTGCCCTCCCTCTTGTTGGCTCCTACATCTTTGAAGTACAGGGGGAATGAACTAATATGGTAGCTCCAATATGCAACTAATCCTGCCAATGATGTCTCCCCTGGAAGTGTTTGAGAAAAGAATTTCTTTTCCCAGTACGGATTTATGTAAACATTTGTTCCATTCACGAGTAGCACATTAATGCCTAATTCTGGAAAAAATACAAAGAAAAAACCTTTTCTGCCTGTCTAGACAGAGTCTTGTTAGTGTATGTCTGATCATATGGGTACTCATGCCGGTAATATTAATTGGTGGGAAATGAGCCAAGGAAAGACAACCCTATCTACCAATTAAATTGACTGAGCTTACAGGGTGGTTTATAAAGTCAACATGCTGGGCAAGGCTTACATCTGACCAGGGAAATTGTTGTTTTCTGATCCCCAGTTGGCCGTCAGCCACCTCAAACACGAGACAGATGTTGGCTTTACTAGGGTCAGGGTTATCACAGGGTGGGATGAATAGTCTTTGGCTCTGGGGTTCGCTACTTTTCCTTTGCTGATGAATAAGAGCAAATAAAATTATTCCTGAATGCCTTGGGACTGGGGGTGGGGGTTCGTTTTCTAAAGCTGGATAGGGCCACCGCATACCGACGTCCTAGGGACAAACTTCCCGTGTCTCAGACGTTCTTATTTCAGTTTGTTTGATCTGAGGTCGACTGATTCCGTTATCTCAAAGGGCAAGGGTTAATGCCTTCTCATAAAGATAACAATGATAAACACAAACAAGGTATTCACTTTGATATATTGGTTTCTTATCCAGGGATCAAGGCAAAAATGTGGGAGAACTGAAAACACAGAGTTTGAAGTAAGCATCAAAGTAATTTGCCGGGTTTTGAAGTAGGAAGTTTTTTATTAATATGTTTTCTTCCAGTGGAATTGAGGTATATAGTAGCGTGAACTAAATGAAGGCTATGAAATTGGGAGGTATATTTTGTGTTCGCTGTGTCAAGTGTGTGTGGACTGCACAGGTGATTCCTATCCACTTGTGCTCGTCCTTGGGACCGGTTTAGTTTCCATTAGGTGCTAAGGAAACTAGCCATGTACCGTCAGCTCCCCCAGGATGAGAGCCATACCCGAGAGAACCCTGTCTGTGGGAAGGTAGTTCTTGCAGGGGTGGGGGGCAGCGGGAGGGATCCCGAGTGCTGGGACTTCGGGGTCCTTGTTAGGGACTGTCAAGAAATGTCATCTGACACTGGGCAGTGTGGGGAGAAGCAGGAGGCTGTGAATTAGTAAAACTTTGGATGCACTTCTGGGAGAGGAAAATACACATGCACCCTTTCACAAGGCTGAAAATACATAGCTACATCGGTATAATTTATTCTGGGAATTGCCTATTAAATTGTATTCCAGACACCAGGTTATATTTGGTGGTCTACTAGAAAATAGTATACTGCTTATCTATTTAAGGCTAAAAATCTCCCAGATTGCCTTTTAAGCCTACAATTGCCTATGAAAATAAACAGATATCTCCCTCCTTGCTTGAACTGCCTTTCTCATCTGCTCATTCTGGAATGCTCTTATAAAAGTTATCTGCCTCTCTGACCACATTAATATTTCAGATTCTTTCCTTGGTCAATGGCGGCCCCTCTTGTCACCTCATCCTCGTTGTGCTCCAAACTTTGCCTCACTTTGGCTTCATTTGGGGCTTCTGGGGCCAGGACTCATTCCCCGCTCTGCCAGCCCTCTCCTGGCACCCTGAGTATGTGGTCACCCCTGGGCCAGGCCTCCTTTTCCCTGATATCTCTCCTTGGTCTCTCTGGAGACATCCTTGATGTCCCTGTTGTCTGTCACGCTGTGCACCAATTCCCTTCTTTTGGGTGCCCCCTTTGCTCTCACACACCCTGTGCTCAACAAATTGAGGGCTCCCAACCCCTGAACTTTTCCAGCTGGAGCCTTTCCACCTGGCCTGCGCTGTCTAACTGTGCTTGTGTGACCACCAGGCTCTCTCTTATCTCCTCCATTTATCGGGCATGATGTTTTGGGATCATTTTTGCCTGCTTTTTTTTTTTTCTTCTTCTCAGCCTACCTGAATACGACTTCAGCATTGCCACTGATGAAATGCAGCGTGCGCTGGATGTGAGGATCCAACACAACGCCGGGCCATTCCTTCTCTGTGGACAAGCCCATGTTTTTGCAGTGGAGGGGCTGAGGCAGAGAAAGGCTTGAGGACGCGGGTTATGCTCTGGTGAAGCTATTGGGGAAGTCGTCAATTCAGGCCAAGCTCCGCCCTCCATGTGTCCCTTCATGAAGTGATTAAAACATGAGATCCGACAGTAAAATGAGTCATTAGGTTCACAGGAATGTTAGGCAGCAGAGATGTAGTTACGGAACTGCAGGTCATAGGTTTTTCTCATTTTTCTTTTATTTTGTGGCATCGTTGCTGTTTTGTGGAAAATTTTCTTTCTCGAAGTTGTCCAGCTGTGAGTCAGTTTCTTTGCCTGAGAACATTGTCTGGGGCAGCAGCAGAGCTATATTTTTCCTTCAGCCTCTATCACTTTTTTTTATCCCTCCAAAGGAAAAAGTTAGTTACATTATCTGACTTGTGGATTCGATTTTGGGTCTGTAATTGGCTGATGGAAGCTCTCCTGATTGGGAGTGCAGGGGAAAATAGGAGAGGAGAAGAGGATTTCCACTGGGAAGCAGTGGTCCCTACTGCCCAGAGGGGCCATAGGTAGTGGATGCTCTCGGTTTTGCTGGGGCAGTAGTTGAGTTGAACATGCACGGTCCCTGGGTTTTCTACCCCTGGACTGCCCTATCTTTTAAGAAGTGATGGACTGAGTATTGACAGTATTGACTCTGTGCTGGATACTATGCTATGTATTCTTTCTGTCCTTCCAACAACGCTGTGAGGTAAGAATGAGTGCCCCTATTTGAAAGCTTTCTTTCAGAAAACTAAAGTTTAGAGAGGTGAAGTGGTTTGCTTAAGATCACACAGCAAATTAGCAGAAGACCTGTGTGACATACTCTAGTTCTGTCCGTCATCAAAGTCATAGTGTTCCCCTATTTATGCTACCTCTTTACCTTGCTAACCTATACATAACTGAAGGTATATATGCACAGCATATATATATATATAACATAAGCATGATGACATATAATTTAACCTATTTAAAAGATTTATTTTAAAATCCTTTAAATAATTATTAGCATATATATTCATGTATTATTATTCATTAATATAGTTCATGTTAATTATAGTTGAAAATACTAGAGCATATTTTAAAATTATGGAATTAATATTGTTGAATACATTGGAATGATATTACTGCTAATTTGAATGAATGATAAAATCATCAAATCAAAAATTTTCTGAGTCCTGCTATGAACAAACTACTGTGGCAAATAAAAAGAAACATGACTTAGCTAGGGAAGGTATTTAATAGTAATTAATAAAAAGAAACATGACTTAGCTAGGGAAGGTATTTAATAGTAATTACATTTAAGTGATAAGAAAAATTGCAAAAAAATTGCAGTTGATATGAACATTACCAATGTGATCAGAAGATGGAAAGAGCATTGCAGGTTGAATGGCTACAATTCATTCAGGAGCTTTATGGAGAAGCACTTTGAATTGATTCATGAAAATCATAAATGTGGGTCAGGTAGCAGTGATGGACACAGTATGGGGACCACTTTGGCAGTCTGTCAGTAGAATGTTTTAGCATGAATTAAGATTTCTGTAGGAGGCAGTGGGAAGGTAATTGGGGCTATAGTATGGAGAACTTTAAAAGTTAGGTTAATACATTTAAACAATGAAGAGTTATTGAATGTTGCAATGGTCATTCCTTACCAGATGGTTTATCTACCTCCACTCAGAGTACATCTATTGAGCATCAACTACTTGTAAGGCACTGTACTGAGTGTTATAAGAAAATAAAATTAACAATCACAACTTCTGCCCTCAAGTCGTTTGCAGTCTACATTAGATACATATAGTTTATATTGGAGAAAATATGTGTACATGAATGACTATTACATAAATCAGAATATAGGTAGAATTATAAGAGATGTAAGTGTAAACCAACTATTAAGACACAACAGGAGAAAAAGAATTAATTCCAGCTGGGAGGATCAGCAATGAGCAGGCATTTAAGTTGGTCCTTGAAAGATGGGGGCAACTTTGACAACACCTTCTCTCTATGAGGGGAACATGCTTTTTAAATAGGAAAACCAAGGACATAGGGGTAGGAAATTGCAGAACAAATTAAAGACCTAGAAAGTAGTTTAACTTGGCTAGAACCCAAAGTATTTAAGGAGGACAAGTGGGAGGTATGGCCAGAAATGGAGAATGAGGCCTGGACTTGAAGGGGCTTTAACACCAAGCTAAGAAGCTTGAATCTTTAAAAAAAAACCTTCCCTGGCATTCTCATAAGCACCTCCAGGGATTCATATTCTGGTAATTTATACACATATGGTGAATGATAAGAACTGTACTTTTGGGAACTAATAGGAAAGGACTGTGAGTGGGATGAATTGGGGAGATTACAGGCAGGAAGAACTTTGGGAGCTGACATAATAGTGCAGGTGGGTCTATGAGGATTAGAGCTAGTAAGTTCTTAATTAACCTCTCATCAGTCTGCACTTTCCACATGGACAATGAGAATATTAAATGGGAAACAGATTTCAAAAAGCTTTGCAGGGTATAAGAGGGTTCAAAGACTGAGTAGATGTGGGGATCAAGGTTAAGGAGAAATTAAAGATAATTTAATGATTTAAATCTTTAAAGGG